CCGTTGGAGAATAATGGTAAATCTGTGAAACACCCCATGACATGGTTGAACCTAGAGGACATTGTTGTCATTGAGTCAGTTCCAAATCATAGTCACCCTGTATAGTGTTTAGAGTACCAACTGTTGACTTTGACCCACTGACCTAGTGGTTCAAATCAATCTTATGTTCGAGTATGCTGAGTAAAATTAATCTATCACAAAAGGACAAACACTGCATGAGACCAACATTATAAAAAGTTTTAAAAAGGTTATCTTGATAAAAAAAAATCTATAATGGTTATAGGGGCAGAAAGGGAAAATTATTCATGAGCTAGAGGATAGATACATGTTAACATGGGTGACAGGACAGGCAGTATACAACGAGAGGGAGGCTGGCAGAGAAAAGATGAAGGTAGCGGGAGACACAGGGAGGAATGAACAGAGGCAAATACTGTTAACTGTTGGTATGTGAAGGGGACTGCAACCATGAAATGAAACAGAGATTTGTTGAATGTAAACCTGACGATCTGCTGTGTAAACCACTTAATTCACAGCAAAATAGTTAAAAAGAAACCCAAATAAAGAAAAGACAAAATGGATGTCACGAGAGACTGAAACTTGTACTTGAACATAGAGAAACTAAAGCAACTGGAAGAAAGGAGGAAGTAAAAGAGCTGAAAACAAATTTTCAAAGTGCAAGGAAGACGAAGTCAAGGATTATACTGAAATGTACAAAGACTTGAAGTTAGAAAACCAAAAGGGAAGAATACACTCAGCATTTCTCAAGCTGAAAGAACTGAAGAAAAAAATCAAGCCTCAACTTACAATTGCAATATTGAAGGATTCTATGGGCAAAATTCTGAATAATGCAGAAAGCATTGTAAGAAGATGGGAGGAATACACAAAGTCACTGTACCAAAAAGAATTGGTCAATGTTCGTCCATTTCAAAAGGAAGTATATAAGCATCAACCAAAGGTATTGAAGGAATAAGTCCAAGCTACACTGAAGGCATTGGCAAAAACAAGACCTCAGGTATTGACAGAATACAAATTGAAATGTTTCAACAAACTGATGCAGCCCTGGCAGTGCTCACTTGTCAAGAAATTTGGAAGACAGTCCCCTGGCCAACTGATTGGAAAAGATCCATATCTGTGCTCATTCCAAAGAAAGGTGATGTAGTGGAATGTGAAAATCATCAAACAATGTCATTAATATCACATACAACTAAAACTTTACTTGAGATAATTAAAAAATTATTGCAGCAGTACATCAACAGGGATTTGCCAGAAACTCAAGCTGGTTTCAGATGATGTGGAACAAGGAATATTCCTGAAGTCAAATGGATCTTGGCTAAAAGCAGAGAATGCCAGGAAGATGTTTCATTTTGCTTTATTGTCTATGCAAAAGCATTTGTATGAATTATAACAAACTATGGGTAGCATTGAGAATAATAGGTATCCCAAAACACCTAATGTGCTCATGAGAAACCTATACATAGACCAAGAGACATTTGTTCAAACAGAATAAGGACATACTGAATGGTTTAAAATCAAGAAAGGTATGTGGCAGGATTATATCCTTTTACTATACTTATTTGATCTGTATGCTGAGCAAATAATCTGAGAAGGTAGATTATGTGAAGAATGTGGCATCTGGATTGGAAGAATCATCATTAATACCCTTGATACACATAGATGACACAACCTTGATCACTGTAAGCAAAGAGGACTTGAAATATTTACTGATGACCAAAAACTACATCCTTCTATCTGAACTGCACCTCAGTGTAAATAAAATAAAAACCTCACAACTGTATCAATAAATAATATCATGATAAATGGAGAAAAAATCGAAACTGTCAAAGACTTCCTTTTACTTGGAGCCACAATCAACACATATGCAATCAGCAGTCAAGAAATCAAATGTTTTGCTTTAGATAAATTTGCTGTAAAAGACCTCTCAAGTGTTAAATAACAAAAATGTCACTTTGAGGACTAAAGTATACCTGACCCAAACCATGGTATTTTCAATCACTTCATACATATGTGAAAGTTGGATAATAAATAAGGAAGACCAGGAAAGAATCGATGGCATTTGAATTAGGTGTTGGCAAAGAATACCAGAAATACCATGAACTGCCAAAACAAACAAATTTGTGTTGGAAGAAGTACAGCCAGAATACTTAGAAGCGAGAATGGCGAGACTTCATCTCGTTCTTTGGACATTTTGTCTTTCTGGAGAAGGGCATTGAAAACAAGTCAAATCTCCTTGATGGACTGACACAGTGGTAGCAATAATGAGCTCAAACATGAGAAGTATGAGGACGACGCAGGACCAGGCAGTATTTCGTTGTTGTGCAGAGGATCAGTCACAATCAACTCGATGGCACCTAACAACAGCTTTAAACTCTGCCTCCCCACCCCTTCCTAATCAACATCCTAAGGCACCTCCTTTACGGAGCTACTATTACTCCATAGGATCCTGCACTACCCTTCTCATGGCAGTTACCACACTCTACTCTTGTAATTGTCTACTTGTTCCCATTCTCCAATAAATTGCAAGCCCCACAAAGGGCCATTGCACTCACTCCCTTACCACTCTGCAGTAACTGGCAAATAGTAATTGCTCAACAATATTTGGTAGGTGAGTAAATCCTTGGCATTATACGATCCACTTTAGTTCTGAAAGTTCAGTGAGTACTTGCAAAAATAAAGGTTACCATTTCCATAGTGTTATAGAAGTATTGGAGTCCTGGTGTACCACTGTGGGTGAGTGTGCTGGACTTCAAAGTTGGTTTGGACTGCAAGGTTGATGGTTCAAGCTGTTCCTTGGAAACCCTATGCAGGAAGCTATGGGTCGTAACTGATTTGATGGTACTTTACAGTATAGAAGTATTGGTGTGGCTCTGCAGGTTAACACACTGGACTGCAAGGTTGGTTCGAACCACAAGGTCTTTGGTTCAACCACACCAGCCATTCCTCGGAAACTCTATGCAAGGTTGCTATGAGTCGGAACCAACTCGACAGCACTTAACATAGAAGTATTACTATTGGTATTCGCTATACTAGGCTGTGTGTTTCATTGAGGATAGGGTCTATGCCTTATTTCTTGTGCCATGATTCTACATGCCTGGCACATTGTTTTAAACCACATGATTGTGTCACTGAGTATGTGAAGACAGGCCCAGATAAGTGTTCTACCATGAACCACACACACAAGCACCTTGTTCCAGAAACAGGACTAGAACATAGAATGCAGTCTAGAAAAAAGAAAGCTGATAAGGAAATGAATATGTAAATCAAGTTATAGTATGGATGAATGAAGAAGCACTGGTTTCTCTCCATCAGGAGACTAGCCTGGTGTAGGAGCGGCCAGGGCCCTAGACCTCCCTCATCTGTTGGTCCTAAGAGAATTGCTTTCCCAGTGTTACCTTCCTACAGAGTGAGCAAATCACTGACAAGGCCTGGGAGTCATTTATAGTCCAGCCCCTTGGAGATGTAAGAGTTGTCTTCTTTCAAGTTTTCAGCATTATAATCCCCCTTCTCCAGCTGCCCCTCCAGCTTGGGGCGCCTCATCCCCACCTCTGAACTCATGAGACAGTAAAAAGATAAACATGTAAAGAGTAGCACAGCACAGAAGGGCACCACCAGAATCCTGGTTTTCTTCCTTTTTAGACAATAAATCCATACCCCCACTCCACTTCCAGCAGCAGAGGAGTCACAGGGCACCTAAGAGCATTATGACCCAGAGGAAACGCAGTTGGGAACCCCTTTCCTCCATCAGCAGTCAATTTAGCTTTCAGGCTAAAAGTGCCCAAGACAGGAGACAAGCGATTTTTCACTCAACAGACTTTTCTAGTATATTCTGCTCAACTTTCAAGTACATTCATATGCTTGTATTTAGTCATTGCCCTTGAATGCAACTTCTAGGAGTTATGGCCTCAATAAGACCAATGCAAAGGATGAGCTTGAGTGAACATATGGCCCAGACTCCTCAGCCTCTTGTAAATGTACAAGTGCTTTAGATTCCTTTGCTCCTTGGCTATTGGGTTCTCTGCTGGCATTAGAGAAAGTATCCAGTGACCTGAACAGGATGCTTCAGAGTTAGGAATTTCACTCTTTAGCCTCTTCATCCCTACTTCTAATGCTCAACCTGCCCAACTAAGCTTTGTACCACCATCTAACCCAGACACCACCACTATGGCAGCCAATGAAAGAAACTTTAATCTCCCTTTCCACCAAGAAATCAATATAGGAAATCCAGCTGTACATTAAGGAAGAATCCAGCAAGGCCAAAGGTGCCCAGGCTCACAGGAGAGCCTATTTCTGCTGATGTAGAGATGACACCATAAGCTGGCTCTAGCCACCGGATGACTCCTAGCTTGAACCCTGCACCAGGCCATCTTTGCTCCACCTCAAACTAGGGAAAATGGGACTTGAGAAGACTGGGTCTGTGCCCTCTGTCTCTTGTATACCCTTGTTGTTAAATGTCATCAAGTCAGTTTCTACTCATAGCCACCTTGTATAGGGTTTCTGAGGAGCGACTGATGAAATTGAACTGATGACTCTGCGGTTCAAATTGACTTTGCAGTCCAGAGCATTAACCCACAGAGCTACACCAGAACTCCTTTATACCCTAAGCTGCTGGGATTTCAAATTATGAAACTTGAACACTGTACTTAAAAATTTGTTCTGCTCAAATCATAAATGTATATTAATTATTTGCCAGTAATTAAGACTCTACTCCTATTATATTTCACTTCGAGACATCCGTTTGTGACCTTCTCTTACTACTCTTCTCTCAGATGGTACAATCCCTCCCCATCTTGGTGGGATCCCTAAGCTGCAGAATGGGTAAGTGGGCATAAGAAGCTGCTTTCAGCATCTTTGAACCCGCTGAACTAACTTCTAAGAGAACTTTTCCTTAGCAAAAAGAATGCACAGAAAAAGAAGAGAGAAGTTTCCCAGATTTGCGAGCCTGAACCAGCCGCTCTCACCTCAGTCCATCTGGGGAAGGGGCTACAAAGCAGACAATCTTTATTCACAATTGGGGCAGCAGAGGGGAGATACTCCCAGGTCAGTCCAAAAGCAAAGATATTGGGTGGGGAAGATGGCGCAGGGGTGGGGACTCAGCACTCATCCTCACCCAGAAGGGTGTAAGGGTTTCGGGCAGCCAGGCTGGACCCTGGGACTGAGGTTGGGGTGTCCTCATCCCCTTCCCCTTCCTCATCTGCATCCCGGTCTTCCTCTCCTTCTTCCTCACAGGAGCTGCTCAGTTCTTCCTCTTCTTCCTCCTCCTCTTCCTCATCACCTGCTGGCCCCACCCTGCCCTGCAAAACCACCAGCTCCATGGTCTCTGGATGGGATTCCCAGGTGCCTGGGGAACCAAAACAAGAAAAAAGGAGGGGAAGGGAGTTTTGGGAAAGGAACCACCACCAAGAAAGATGGTGAAGAGGCAAAAGCTAGGAAGAACGGTAATCTTTATAGCTGCAAGCATGTGTTCATTCACTCATTTATTCAGTCAAACTTGAGGGCCTCCTTTGCGCCAGGCACTGAACAGAAGCTCTGCATACATTATCTCCAGTCTCTGCCCCAACCTTGCCAGGGAGGACTTTGCCCCCTCATTTTGCAGACCAGAAACATGAAATAACAGAAGTGGCCAAGAGGTTTCAAGGAACCCAGGTTTGGCCCTCGCTGTCTAGCCACAAAGTGCACGCCCTCTTGCCTACATGACAGCAGAAGGCTGGGAAAGAACATCTGCTCTCTGACCTTTCTGCTCACTGTAGCCCGGGGGATGAAAGCACAGGCTGAGACGGCCATCCACCGCTAGTCGCAGGAGACTGTTGGCTGCTCTGTACACATCATTCCGAGCTGCCTTGGCTGTCTTATAACCTCGTTTCTCTGCCCAGGCTGAAGGGAGAAAATAATAATGGTTGAGAAAACACTTAACCAGGTACCAGTCACTATTACCCCAGCCCCATAACATAGTTTTTCTAGTCTTCCTGAGAACATTCCAGGTCAGAGAACTTTGCTGTCTATGGGGCAGAAACCGTCTGAGTGGACAATTGCTTTGTCAGTGGCAGAATCTCTGAGAAGAGGCAGTGCTAGAAAGCTGGCAGATGAGGAGAAGTCAGACACTTGGAACCTACCTTCACAGACGTCCCAGGCACACCACGCATGTCCTGCTGAGGAGTCCTCAGCCTCTGGGTGGCGCAGACGGAGTAGGGATTGCACAGGGATTCGGGATGCCAGATATCCCACAGCCGTGTATGGCTCCTGGATTTGGGCGATGGGGTAGATCCCTGCCAGAACCTGAGGGAAACAAGGAACACTCAGCCTTCTTCATTGACCTCCACCTTCTCTCCCTGCCCCCCTGCTCCCTCTGTCCAAATACCTGCAATTGCCTGGGCAGGAGAGAGGGGAAGATGAGGCCTGGGCAGTCACAGAGCTTCACAGAGGGAGTGAGGAAGTAGGTTTGAAAGTATCGGGTGTGACCCGGTGTTCGGGAGACACTCACAACCTTCCGCCCCACCAGTCCGTTGATCAGCGAGGACTTTCCCACATTGGGGAAACCTGGGGAAGGCAAGAGAAGGTGCAAAGAAAATTAACACTCCCCACCTAAGACAGGCAGCATCCCTTAAACAATCAATAAATAAGGAGGATTCAGATGCAGACAGTGCAGACCCGGTCAGGAGGCCAAGCCCCTGTGGGCCCAAGCGTTGTTGACCGTCTAAGCCATAGGCTCTGAGGATCAGACTCTAGCTACCTAGTAGACATAGCAAACTGTCCCTCATCTGATTATTCAGTAATGCTTGTTAGTAATCTCATACATGAGCCCTGGATATCCACAGACAAATGTAAAAACCTTCCCTAAAAGCCGAGACTGTAAATTCCAAAAAGGCAAGTCCCCCCAATCCAAAAAAAAAAAAAAAAAAAAGCTAAAGAGGATAGAGAGAAACACTGTAAACTGATGATATATGGAGGGGATAATAATCAATGTAATGAAACAAGCTATATGAATGGTTGAATGTGAAGCTGATGATGTGCCCTGTAAACTTTCACTCAATCCAAAATAAAAACATTTAAAAAAAAAAAAGAAAATGAACTCTCCATGGGCCCTCACTCTGTGATGGGCAGGACTTAGCTGGTGCTAGACATGAAAGGGGAATAAAGTTCACAAATAATGGAAGCTATACAACACTGGTAGTGTAGTGGTTACGAGTCAGTCTGCGAACCTTAAGGTCAGTGGTTCAAAACTACCAGCCGTTCCGCGGGAGAATGATGAGGATTTCTACTCCCGTAAAGATTTACACTCTCAGAAACCCTGTACAGGGTCGCTATGGGTCGGAACCGACTCGATGGCACTTAACAACAACACTGAACAGTGCAAATTACCGCTCAGGCTCTGGATTGCCAGGTGTGAATCCTGCTTGGTAGCCTCAAGGCAATTGACTTAACTTTCTAAGCCTCTGTTTTGCATTTTACAGTGCAGACATCTTCTACCTCAAAGAGGTTAGGATGAAATGAGATAGCAAAGACAAAACTGGTCAGTGGCTGCAGTAGAGAGTAAGCGCTCAAAATAAGCAGACATGCATCTCATGGTAACTACCTGTGACTTGTCCTAGAATTTGGATGTGAAGCCCTGGCTCACTGCCACCCTCCTCTTGAGTACCAGCACCATCCTGGCCAACTTCAGTGCCTGTCTGAATCTCCTGCCCAGCATGCTGGCCTCTCAGTGCCTTGAACTCACTGCTAAAGATCATTTCCTTTACAACTCCCTCTCAACTACCCACTCCCATGGTCACACCTTGGATTTGTCACTTCATACCACCTAAATCTCAGTTTCAAGCTCCCCTCTATCTCCCTTACATTCCATTTTTCCATCTCACTTATAAGTTCCTCCATTCCAATTCAATCTTTGTTCCTAGCCTTAGCAGTTCTCACTTGTTAATGCCTGACTCACAACCTCGCTCCCTTTCTTGCCAACCTTTGATTCCATGAGTCAGCTCTACATTCCTACAGTTCCTAGACCTTGAACTTCTTGGTTCTGGTTCTTCTCTCCACCTCACTCCCCTGGCAAAACCCCACCCCTGTACAACACACCTCTCTCTGCTCATTCAGTACCTGCTGGCAGGCAGCTGGGACTGGGGCAGAGCGGATATACCAGCATACTGACTGTGCTCCTTTGATAACACATTGAAGCATCTCCTCTCAATGAAGGAAGACAAAGGAAAGAGAAAGAGGAAAGGAAGGAGGGACGGAGGAATGCCCCTTGGACAATTTCCATCATCCCCATTTCTCTGTCCCCTTTATGGTAAAACTGCTTTAAAAACCTGTTTTGTCACCTCTTTATGGCATCTTTGTTGTGACTATAACACAGGAATGTGTACAGCATCAATGTACAGCCTACTGAGCTCCATACAAGATACCTCTCTGAGTAGAGTGTACCACACTTCCTCAGAAGTCCCGCTTACTTCTTCTGAATTACAGCCCTCTTCACCACACACATGAACCACTCCTTCTGTTTCCTTTCATTCTATAACCTGTGCAACCCTGAACAACACAGTCTAATACCTTTTGAACTATGGAATCAGGCAATATGCATTGTTATGTCTGGCCCCTTTTGCGCAACGTTACATGAGGTTCACCCAGATTGTTTCACATCCTCTGGTTGGCTAACCGCAATCTGGATTACCTCTCTACCAGTGCACTAAAGCTACTCATCTGCACATAATCAAGCCCCGGTCAAATCTCTGCTCTCATCTGACTTGACCCATCACCAACATTTGACACAGCTGAAGGATACCTCCTTTCCTCTTCATTTCCCAACCACTAAATGCTGGCTTGATCTGGCTCAATCCCTGGCTTTCTCTTTTCCATTTACTTCCTCTCCCACATCTCATCCAACCTCATGGCTTTAAATGCTGTTTTTATCCAGCAATGCCTCAGTAAACAAGTGCTGGGTGGATAAGTGAATCAGAGCTGGAGGAACAGCCTAACTCTGGGCAGCTGTGCCGGAGCCAACACCTGAGCACTGACCACTCAATGCAAAAGCTCCTGAGGGGGAACAGGGGCCTCCTGTGAGGAGAGCCTTAAGTCAGCAGTCAGAGTGTGAGGGAAAGTCTGGTTATAGTAGCTGGAAAGAGGAGTAATTTGTCAGCAGTCAAGCAGGTTTTACCCAAGACAAAATGAGACTGAAAAATAAGTCCAGAATGCTTTCAAGGAACTCAACTATCTACAACGTCATTCTCCCAGCTTCTGAGCTGGGCCCTTTTTGGCTCCAATAACACCTCAGACATTAATTGTGCCAAGACCTCACCTCACCTTTCCAACAAATAAAATTATAAGAAATCACACCAAAAATGGAAATAGGCTCTGGACTCTAACCAGACATTCATTCCTCCCCACTGAGAGCAGAGACAAAGCTTGCGGTTACAGGAAGCTTCGTCTTCTTGACAATAGACTTAAAAGGTTAAAATCCAGAAGGCAATTAACACTTGTTGAGCTTCTACTATGATTTAACCATCCCTCCACTGTGGTCTCATTGCTACAATGAACATTGTTATTAAGTGCCATCAAGTTGGCTTTAACTCATAGTAAACCTGTATAGCGGTTCCAAGAAATGGCTGATGAGTTTGAACCACCAACCTTGGAGTTAGCAGTCCAGGGCTTATCCTACAGTGTCACACCAGGACAACTGAACACTGTTGTTATTGTTAGGCACCATTCAGTCGGTACCGACTCATAGCGACGTTATGCACAGCAGAACGAAATACTCCCCAATCCTGGGCATCGTTGCCATGCTTGAGCCCATCTATGGTCTTCCTTATTCACTGTCCAGCTTTCACATGCATAATGAGGTTATTGAAAGCACCATGGCTTGGGTCAGGCGCACCTTAGTCTTCAAGCTGACACCTTTTCTCTTCAACACTTTAAAAAGGTCTTGTGCAGCAAATTTGCCTAATGCAATACGTCGTTTGATTTCTTGACTGCTGCTTTCATAAGTGTTGATAGTTGATCCAAGAATGAAGTTTAGTATAAGAATGAACACTGTTGTTGCTGTTAGGTGCCACTGAGTCAGTACTGACTCATAGCAATCTTATGCACAGCAGAACAAAACACTGTCTGATCCTGGGCCAACATCACTACTGCTGTCATGCTTGAGTCCATCGATGCTGCCACTTGGTCAATCCATCTCGTTGGGGGTCTTCCTCTACCTTACCAAACATGATATCCTTCTCCAGCAACTGGTCCCTCCTGACAATATGTCCGAAGTATGAGAGACGAAGTTTGGCCATCTTGGCCTCCAAGAAGCACTCTGGCTGCACTTCTTGCAAAACAGATCTATTGGTTCTTCTGGCACTTTCAATATTCACCTCCAACACCATAACTCAAAAGCATCAATTATTCTACGGTCTTCTTTATTTACTGTCCAACTTTCACATGCATATGAGGTTATTGAAAATACCATGGCTTAGGTCAGGCTCACCTTAGTCTTTAATTTGACATCTTTGCTCTTCAACACTTTGTAAAAAAGGTCTTGTGCAGCAGATTTGCCTAATGCACTATGTCGTTTGAGTTCTTGACTGCTGCTTCCATGAGTGTTGATAGTTGATGCAAAAATAAAGTCCTTGACAACTTCAATCTTTTCTCCGTTGATATGAATGTTGTTTATTGGTCCAGTGGTGAGGATTTTTGTTTTCTTTACATTGAGATGCAATTCATACCCAAGGCTGTGCTCTTTGATCTTTATCAGTAAATGTTTTAAATCCTCTTCACTTTCAGCAAGCAAGGTTGTATCATCTGCATATCACAGGTTGTTAATGAGTCTTCCTCCAATCCTGATGCCACGTTTTTCTTCATAGAATCCAGCTTCTTGGATTCTTTGCTCAGCATGTTGTTAAGTACCGTGGAGTTGGTTCCGACTCATAGTGACCCCCTGCACAGAGTTTCCGAGGCTGTAAATCTTTATGGGAGCAGAATGCCTCATGTTTCTCCCACGGAACTGCTGGTAGTTTCAAACTGCTGATCTTGAGGTTGGCAGCCCGACTCGTAACCACTACGCTACCAGAGCATACAGGTTGAATAAGTATGGGAAAGAATACAACCTTGTCGCACACCTTTCCCAATTTTAAAACATTCAGTGTTCCCATGTTCTGTTTGAACTATTGCCTCTTGGTCCAGGTACAGATTCCTCATGAGCACAATTAAGTGTTCTGGAATACTCAGACTTCTCAATGTTGACCATAGCTTGTCATGATCCACACAATCGAAAGACTTGTGTAGTAAACAAAGCACAGGTAAACATCTTTCTGATATTCTCTGCTTTCAGCCAAGATCCATCAGACATCAGCAATGATATCACTCATTCCATGGCCTCTTCTGAACCCGGCTTGAACCTCTGGAAGTTCTCTATCAATGTATGCTTACAACCGTTTCTGTATTACCTTTAGTAAAACTTTACTCACATGGGATATCAAAGATATTGTCCAATGATGTCCACATTCCGTTGGGTCACCTCTCTTTGGAATGGGCACAAATACAGATCCCTTCCAATCAGTCTGCCAGATAGTCATCTTGCAAATTTCTTGACAGAGATGAGGGAGTACCTCCTGTGCTGCCTCACTTTCTTGAAAGATTTAAATTTTTATTCCATCAATTCCTGGTGCCTTGTTCTTTGCCAATTCTTTCAATGTATCTTGGATTTCCTCCTTCAGTATCACTGGCTCTTGATCATATGCTACCTCTTAAAATGGTTGAACATTAACCATTTCCTTTTGGTACAATGACTTTGCGTGTTAAAAACTTACACACTTGTACACTGGCTACCCAAAGTGGGGGACGGGAGGGCTACAAAGGCAAGAAGTGACTGGCTTACAAGCTTTCAAGAGGGAACCTAGATCCAGAGGTCGTGGAGGAAGCTAGAATCTTCACTGAGTAGTATCTAATCTGTCTAGGCGGGGCTGATGAAAGGAAATGCGGATAGGTCTCTTGTCATACAAGGATAGGTCTCTTGTGATACAGTAGTGAATAATTGTTATCAGGACTGATTGTGAGGGTTGGAAATGTAAAGGTAGACATATTGTAGCAAGGAGGGGAGTGATTAACTTTGTAGCCTAGGAGTGGAGGTTCCTGGGACCATCAAGGGAGAATAACGGAGAGCAGGACCCTACCCAGAGAAGCAGTGACGCCAGAGATGGAGGCAGAGATGATGACATAGAGAGACGGAGTGGCTAGGGACTTCAGACCCAGAGAGGGAGAGGGGCTGTGTGCTGACGCCCAGGGGACAGGCTTGCAGGGTATACCCTTTGGTTGGCTGATGATGCATAGAGGGGATTGTAACCATGGCAATGAGACGATATATGATAGGATGAATATAAAGCTAATGTTCTCCCATGTAAACTATCACATAGGTCACAATAAAACATTAAAAAAACTTATACATATTAATCATAATACATTTTAAATATAGAACGTAAGCATCACTTAGAACAGTGTTTGGTACATAGTAAGTACCACATGGAGTTCTGGTGTGGCGCTGTAGGATAAGCACTGGACTGTTAACCACAAGCCACTTGTCAGACCCATCAGCCACTTCTTGGAAACTCTGTATAGGGTCGCTATGAAGCAGAACTGACTTAATGGCACTTAACAACATCAACAATGTATCATTTAAGTGCTAAGCTCTAACAATAACTATCATTGCTTTTACTATGAACTATCTGTCAAGCATTGTTAGATACTCTGAACACAATTCCATTCATTCATTTAGGTATAAATGTCTTCATTTTTTCTTATTAGTCAAAGAGATAAAGACTTATGATGGTTAAGTAAATTTTCTCAAGGTCACACAGCTGAGAAGAAATGGACTTTAACTCAGGTGTCTAGCCAGCAGAGCAGATGGCTTCCTTCACCTTATCCTTGACCACCAGCAGAGGTCATGCCCCTCAGAAGCCCTAGGGCCTAATAACACCTGATCACCACCTCTCTTTTCCAAACATTGAACCTCTGTGCCTCTAAGGAGGCCACCATGCCCGGGCTACCGCTTCCTTACCCACACAGCCGATGGTCACCACCCCATCCTTGTAGCGCTCCCGGGTTGGGCCAGTTGGCTCCATTGCTGAATCAGTCTGCTGCTCCACCAGGACTGCAGGCCCATCATCCTCTTCCTCTTCCTCCCCAGAGCCATTACCCCAGGTGGCACCAGCTACATCCCGAGCAATCTTCTCCCGCCAGCTATTCAAGTCTACTACTCAAAGAAAAAGAAGACAAAAGAGGTTCTTCCTGGGTGTATGAAGACACAGACTGCGCAATGCACAGCTGGTAGGATTGGCATCCTCTGGAGTTGTGTGGTGTCAGCTATATCTCCCCAGTATTCATGAGAACCCACCCCTAGAACCATTAGCATTTCTCCGTTGGAGTTCCTGGAAAGTACTGAGAAGACTAAGGCATCAAACCACTGAGGTGCCTGCCTACCTACTGACTCTAGTCACACCAAGACAGCCTGCGCTAGTCCATCCTTCCCTCTGGCCCCTCTCACACTCTGATAATAAAGGGGCTGACTTCAGGAAAGGTGGCTTAAATGACTCTAGGATTAGGGTGTTCCACAGCATCCCTCTGAGGAGCACATACCTTTCCCTGCAGTGATGACTTCACAGGCTCTCAGCAACTGCTCCGGTCCTAGGGCCCGAGTCCACCCTCTCCCTCGCTTCCGACTCTTCTTCAAGACTGAGACCAACGAGCACAAAGGGTTAGCACATGGGCTTTTGCCTTCCATCTCTGCCACCACCCTTGAACTCAAGATCATGTACCTACTTGTCAACAAGCCTCTCTGTTGTCCCCTTGATCCCCTGCCACCCCACCACTCCCCTGGTGCCCTCCTCATTGCCCACTCACCACTACCAGAGTCCTGAGGGGAGCGGGGATCCCGAGGGAAAGAGGTGAAGAGAACGATGTGGAGCTGGGGGTAGTGTTGGTGGAAATAATGCTTCCAGGCAACCACAAGAGCTGGTGGTGCCAAATCCACCTTGTTCAGGACCAGCACAAGGGCCAGTCCAAGTTCTCCAGTCACATACTCATAAAATACTGGTGGGAAATTCACAACCTACGGCAGGATTGATAAGAGGATGGAGCAGTGAGACCCAGAGTCCTCTGCTTCTAGCTCCCATCACCAAGCACAGCTCAGAGACAAGACCCTGGCAGTAGTAGTTTCTGGGATGAAATGGTGAATCAAGAAAACAACGCAGGAGTTGGCAATACTAGTGAGTGAGTGTCTAAAGGACTTGCTGCAAATAATTAAGGATGGAGATGAGCCAAACACAAGACAAGGAAATAGTGTCCCCTAAAGCACACTGGTAGCGTAGTGGTTACGAATCGGGCTGCGAACCTCA